TGTGTTGTGACCTAACAAAAGGTTCAGACCACCACAGCAATTATTCTCCAAGCAAAAGGGCTAAAATTCAGTAATTTTTCAGTGCCACTGTTCATGACTTAAATGATTAAGTCTCTTCCTTTTCATAGCCTACAGGCTGAGCTTAAGCAAGAATTTTTCTGTACCAATACATTAAACTCAGACCCAATAAATCAGCAGCTCTTACGGTATCTCTAGAGCTGGGCACTCTGTGTCCTTTTTTTTTCTGAAGGAAAAAAAATGTAGGAGACATTTAGAGGCATGGCAGAGAGTAGGAAAACTATAAAGATGAAAACTGTGATGAGAAGGTGTTCTAAAAGTGCTCTTGCTCGTCTTCACTCAGGTACTCCAAMACAATTCTGGAGTAGGACTATTTAAAACGGTTTGGTAAGGAGCATACTTTGATTAAGAATATAACTTGTGCACACCTTGCATGATGATGAGATGATGACAGAGCCCACAGCAAGTTTCATGAGGTACCAATCATTTTAGTGATGGTAAGAAAAAGACACTAAAAATGCATAATGATTTAGCCTACCTTTGCTATAGTGGCATTTATATAAAAAGGAAATAAAACTCACCAGTTATTTTTATGTGCCTATTGATTTTCAACTTGAGCTTTCTAGTACAGTTTGATGGAATAAGTTTTAAGTATAGAGAAAAAGGACAGACACAGTTTTTCTAAGACCTCTTCTTGTACCCCTCACCCCCCTCAAAGAAAATACAATCAATTTAGTTCAGCCTCTTGATGTGTGTGTCAAAGCTAGGTATAAATCTCAGCTGAGGAGCCAGAGCTGTCAGAACACTATATKTGTCCGAGCTTTAGACTAGGTGCGTCCAAATAGCAAGATAAACCTACCGCAAGTGACAATCCAGAACAGTCATGAGACACAACATAGACAAGGAGGACATAGAAGGAAGAAATAAAAATTAAAACATCCACACACAAACATTAGTAAAAACCATGGAGAAATGACCTTTTCATCACAGTACGTTCTTATAATGATTTGCATCCTGTAACAAACACCTCCTCCCACTGGCCTTTGCACAGCCGTGCTCTCTACTTGAACAAGCACCAATTGCCTGCAGTGTAGAAGAGTTTCAAGAGTGAAAATTTCAGATTTATGCAATGCTACTCCCTTTCCAGTTCAGTGAGGTGCTCAGGGAGCTGGGATCCTGCAAGATGCCAAGTGCCTCTTGGCTGCTATTACGTGCTCTCAGCTAACGGCAGCAGGTGATCAGCACTGGCAGGTTCAGCCCTAACAGCGACTAAAGTAAGTTTTTTTGGTTTATTTTTTGGACAACATTTCAGATCTTTTGTACTGCACTGTGCCCTTTACAAGGGCATGAGATTTCCACCTTATTTTTCAACTACACTTATTTTTTTAACATAAAAACTGTCTTCTTTAAATAGCGTTCTTCCCTTTACTATTTTGTGTGACAGCACTAAAGTGATTCACTTCTCATTACTGAACTATTTTATGTTTAGCATTGCATAAATCAGGATTAAGAATCAATATCAGTCATGCTGACAAAAAGTGAAAGTCAGGCAAGATTTCTGAAATTAGGAATTAAATCAGTAAAAGGGCTATTGAATGCCAAAAGCTTAGAATTATACACTATCAGACTGACTGCTAGCTATGAATTTAATAGGCTAATTYAAGCTGCCTCTCTTTGAAAACCCAGACAGTGGAGAGGAAGCCAGGTTGGAGAGTTTGTGATGTATCCATTCACTTGTTAAAAATAAGACATTTACATCAACTATTTTTGATGTAAAAATTTTATCATCTTTACTGTCTTTAAATGGTTAAAATTAATTTCACCATCTTTAGCATCTTTAGATTTAATTATGCAGAACTAAAACATATTGATTACATTCTAAAATATTTGGACAAAATACTTTAAAATAACTACACAGATTATTTTGAAGCGAATCTTCAAATAACTACATAATCTGTAAAATAGATCAAAGTACAGAGAAAAGATTAATGATTCTGTTTTTTTTTAAAACCAATTTTCCCCTTAAAGAGAAAAATATTAAATTATTAAAAGAGAAAAATATTAAACTATTAATTTTGTGACATAATTTTACCTTCATAATGTTTTTGTTCCTAGAATCCTTGGTCATTTATCCAGGTACCAACAAATATAATTAAAAACACTTAATTGTATATTGTAAATAYAACAATGATCTTACATGATATGGAACAAACTCTACATAAATATCAGTCAACAAATTGCGTATTTTCTGTCCCACAACAAAGTGTTGCACTTGTTATCATTAGTATCATTGGTAGAACATAACAAACATCACAAGATATTTTCCACAGATATAATTACAGTTCTTTGAAATTACTTTTCCTCCAATGGCAGGAATTTGGCTAACAGGAATCCAAGGTACCCCGGCAATTGATCTGATTTTCCATGTATGGCTGAGGGGAAATATCTCACAATTATTTAATATTAATAACCTAGAAAAAGGTCTATAAATCAAATGTACAGAATCCATGAATGCTAAATCAAGGTGCTTAAAGAAAACAGATTTGCTTCACATTCATCATATGGAGAAAACAAAATTAGTATAATTTTTTTTTCAAGCAAAGAAGACTTGATATTTCTACTCTAGTGTTTTCTAAGCTCACACTCATTGATCTTAACTCTGGAATTCACATTCCAGACTTACAAGTGTGTCTCTGATACAGTGATTTAATGCACAGGCCAGATTCAATTCAGCTGTGAATTTGTCTTGTGGAGGACTTGGTGTCCTGCAGCTTGCACTCCAGCACATCAGAGTTGCTCATGAAACGTCGTCCCTGATGGTGGAGCCAAGACTGAAGTCCAGCACCAAGGTGCTCCACTTGTCCACAGACACAAGGTTCTCCAGCCGTTTGCTTTCCTTGCCAGGATGGTTAGTGGTGATACAGCAGTCTGGGATGGCTGCAGAGAAATCTGCTTTGCATTGCCTACTAGCTGTAGAAACACAATGGGTGCCTAGGCCAGGCAACTGGTGTGAGCTTTGTTAGCTGTAAGCATGCGGAGTGTACATACAGTCTGAGATCCAAAGTGGAACCTCACTCTTTCCCTCAGGACTCAGATGATGATACTATACTATGGTCACTATAAAATATCAATGTAAAATTAAATGTTAAGTTAACTGACGTCCAATGCATCAACATCTCCAGAGTGGCTTCTGCAATTAAGTGACATTAACAGCAACAAAACACCAGCATCTACAGTGATTTTCTCTTTCTGGTGAAAAACAACAAAAGCTGTCTCTTTGGCCATTATTTGAAACTGGAAGTAGCTCTGTGCCTTTAAAGCTTATCCATTATTTTCCTTTATGGATTAGAACTCTACTCTCTGCTTTTAAGCTCTACTCAGAGGCTGTCCTAGGCTGATTTGGACTGTCTGATAGGCAATAAGAGAGCTGATCCACTGCTGTACAGTGGTATCCCACCACTTCTAGACTGCTCCGTGAATCCCTTCATTACCTTGCTCTAGGGTTTTTATCTTGGATGCTGCTCCTCACCAGCTCTCCCTAGTCCTTGCATTCCCAGCTTTGGTCGGTGCTTCTAATTAACCTGCCTTCAGCCCACATTTCTGCACATACTAGATCCCACTTTGTGGAAGGAACTGCTTATTCCTTACCAGGTTTCATCTTCTCTCTTCAATTAGGACTGCTCTGATTCAGCCTTACCATGGATTTTGGAAGTACAAAATTGAGCATACAATATCTTTAAATTACCATCTCCCACTGAAAGGCTTTTTCAAAGCAGTAGTTCAAGTTTCCCCATTATTTCTATCTTAAAATACAGCTGTCTTCTTAGCCTAGGAAATCTGGCCATGCAGTAAATACAGCCAGCTTCACATTTATTTCCCTATTCTTCTACTTAGTCTCAACAATTTGCCATATGAATTTGTAGCACCCTAATCATCAGATAAGAGGACAACTGGAAGAAGCTTTATTTTCTTCCAAGAACATGTTAATTAATTCATAGAATCACAGAATCACAGGATGGTTAAGGTTGGAAGGGACCTCTACAGATCATCTAGTCCAACCCCTGCTCCAGCAGGGACACCCAGAGCACGGGGCACAGGGCGGCATCCAGGTGGGTTGGGAAGATCTCCAGAGAAGGAGACTCCAYAGCCTCCCTGGGCAGCCTGTGCCAGGGCTCTGTCACCCTCACAGGGAAGAAGTTCCTCCTCACGTGGAGATGGAACTGCCTGTGTTGCAGTTTGCACCCTCCTACTAATTCTGTAGTCCTGAGAATTAAGTCCTCCAACCTTTTACTCTTCTGACAGACAGGTTTTTCTGCCACTGTGAAAAAGATGCTGCTCAGAAGACACAATGCAAATCTTTTTCCTCCAAGTTATTCAGCTGACTTGCTGCTAAAAGTATGTTCTGTTATCTTCAGCCTCCTCTTCTCTCCTACAAATATAAATCTCCCATCATCACTTGGCTGAATTCTGCTGTATTCTTTCATTCTTTCTTTTTGGTTGTTTTCTTTGTTTCTTCGATTGCTTTTTTTTTTTTTTTTTTTTTTCCTCTACTACACTATTCTGTTTTCTTCTCTCTCAGCTAAATTTTTGCTCTTGTGGAGAAAAGAGATTTAGACTGCAGAACTACTTGTCTGTCAGGTAAGCTCAGAAATATAAACATATATAAACACCATACTTGGTCCTGAAATAAAAAAGACAGAATAGCTTACAGCTGCACTTTTGGGACAACCAAAATACTCATGCACTTTCCATATGAAACATTACATGTTCATTATTTTTAAGAGGGAAGGGAAATTGGTTGATGGCTTCATCAGTGGTGCCACATCCAAAGGCATCTTTGGTGACACCACCGAGAACGCGCTCCCAATCGTCCCCTCTTCACAGAGCCCCAAGGGAGGCAACAAGTGGACGCATGGCCAGAGACATCAGGCAGAATCCTTCAAATGCAACTTAAAAGTTAAAGAAAAGGAGGGAGACTTTACCTGGTCTTTCATGGTCTTCCCTAAATCTTTAACGTCTTTCATGTTAATAGCATTCTTCCCTCCCTTCTCCTTTCCCTTCTTCTTGTTCTTCTTTTTGAACAAGCATTTCTTACAGAGACAAAAGCAGCAGGTAAGAATTAATAGGACTGCAACTATGGCTATGGCTATTAAGGCCCAAGGTGGCACTGGAAGAGAAAAAGAAACACACAGAGAAAGCAGCAAAATGTTAGTTGGGTTAAATTAAGCAACAAGCATGCTTCTCTTACAACTGAGGCTTTTTCAATGAAAATGTCATGCAGAAATACCTGAGATGCTTTCTAAAATGCCCTGTCATTGTGTGTACATTTCTCCTGGATGAGCATTTGCACACACAACCCCCATTTAACACATCACACGGGCTCTATTTACATGCCCAGTGACAAATATCAAGCTAACTTGCAGCTATTTGGATTAATCAACCAGTTTAAAACAATATACCTGAAATATTTACACTAAATGTGTAAAACACTCAGCACATTTGAGAATTTGCTTGCTTCTTATCTGAATTGTCCCCTGAACCCACCTGGCATTGTGGCAGAATCTGGGAATCTCCTTTCGGCTCACAACCCCAGCAGGCAGTTTTAATGAAGAGCCCTTCTCCTGTGCCCACTGCTGCACTTGGCAGACTTGCACAGTCCTCACTACAGATGCAGGTCAAGGTCACCAGCAAGCACAGAGGACTGTCCAGTCCAAGGGCATTTATGCTATTAGTCATCATGCCCTAACATTAGCACGGTTTTAGTAAATAACTAGACTTTCATCAACATTCCTATAAATAAAGGCTTATGTTCAGTTTATTTATTCAATTCAGGGCTCTGGACATAGCTGAAGTATAAATAAATAATACTATACACTGACTATGATAAGCGCTCTTGCAAAACATCAGGATTTTGGAAAAAAAGGAAGATGACATTTAAATGCAAGTACTTCAGATGAGAATTATCCTCATACAAATCAGCTTTAATGACCACTCCTTCTCCCATTTAACCAAAATACCTGAGAAAACTTTAAATGTTATAAGCTGTCATTCTCTAAAATCTCTAAATGTACTCAGCCTTTCGGGTCTGCAAGATAGTCTCTCAATGCACTACCCCAAGGTCTCTAATACGATACACAGCAAAACTGAAGAGTGAATCAAATCTGACATGTTGACGTCAGTGAATCACAGAAGAGAATGGACAGTATAAATAGAGAAAATTAATTGCTTAAAGGAGCTAAGCAGAGTGTAAAGCACAGTCACAAGAAGTTCCACTAGAAAGCACCACTTCAGGAACAGCATAAAACATCTTACACCTTACCCTAAGTTTAATAGCCATATTTCTACCTTTTATTCAGATGTCCTTGGTGATAGAGACAAAAATAATCAATAATTTCTGTAACACTTACTGTGCCTCCAAATGTTCATTTAATGCAGCTGCTCTATGAGAGGAGCAGCACCATATGTAGAACAAATGAGAACTGATTACTAAACAAATGAATGCTAAAAGATAAACAGTGAATAGATTAACAGCTGTTTAAGGGATGTATTTTATGAAGTCATCAACAACAATTCTGCAGTTAAAATTGTATTTAGATCTGCGCTTATCACAACTTACTTTCTATTTCATGCATTAATGACTTAACATTATCCTCAAATCTGGTGTGGTAACACTTCATGGGTTCTGCTAAAAAGTATTATATTTTCGTCAAGGAACCAGTGCCTTTCACTGTTGTGTGCTCTTTCCAAATTCCATACTTCACTTACATGTGCTAGACACAGCCTTTCAAATTGCACTTAAATAATGCTGTGCTTTCCATTTGAAGCTAATTTAGAGGAATTTTGTCCATATGAAATGAATGATGACCCTAAATGCACCTGCTCTTGGTTTGCTGCCTTGGCAGTGGGGCTCTAAAACTCCAGGGGGTCAAGGGCAGAAGAAGCTGGACYGTGGGAAGGGACCATGTGGGCATGGTGGCACCATGGTAGGAAAGAAAAGGGGCAAAGTCAACATCCATAAGCTCACAGAAAATTAAGTTGGGCTGTATATGACCCATATACAACTGCAACAGTTGAAAAAGCTTGTGGAGGCAGTGGAGTCAGGTGCCTRTATGTCAAGTGGGTTCTGGCACCATTGCCTTGTGTTTCCACAGCACAATGCAGGGAGCCCATGGAGCAGTTCAAACACCTGGAGGTGTCTTTAGCAGCTCTTCTRTGATGTGTTGTCTGTTGTAATTTAATACCCCTCATTAGCTCTTGTGATACAATTAAATGATCATCAAATTAATACCTGAGAAACCACGAATCATGCAGAATTCCTCATTTATCCTTTCAAAGAAAATGCCCTCTTTTTAATTTAATTATTTTTTATTAAAGAAAGCATAAATAACAAAGGAAAGAACTTTTTGAAAGGTAACCCAAAATTTGGACGTTTCCAAAACAGGTTCAATACTCACTTCCGCGAAAGCACAACAAAAAAGAATAGATGTTTTTCCTAACAGAAGTGCACTATCTCTGTCAAGCAGATGGTTCATGAGAATATTGTCACTGACAGAGATTGTTCAAGCAAATATTGTGGGTGCTTGATGCACGTGTTAGATTTAGAACAAGTGAAACCTAGAGATACCACCAACTTTGAAGTGGTGTTTGCTTCCTTTCAAAAGCATTACTTGAGTAATTCTAAATGTTAATCATTTTACACAATACAGACAAGATTTTCCAGAATGAGTAAAGTCTTGTAAAGCTTTCATTTTTTCTGGGCTTCCCAATTCATGATACTGCCAGAGGAGTTTAATTTTCTGAAAAAAAATGAGCTCCTAAAAATTATTTATTTGCAAAGTCTGGTGCACATTCAAAATGAAACAACTAATTTACCAATTTTGAAAATTCATACCATAGCCTTTAATTTTTTGACATAGCAGTTATGACCTGTATCTACTAATACCTTATGGATAGCATATGAACCTTCCTGTTATTACAGAATTGATCATTTCAGAGATGTATAATGGTCACAATGCATCTTTGCAGTTTATTAAACTATTAAGAGTTTTCTACCCATATGCATAATTTTCAAATAACTTCATTTCCTTGGTGCTCCCTGCAGTTTGAACACTAGCTCCATCCGTCTTAAATCATTTTGATTAGGTTCTGTAGCTCAGCACGAAACCTCAGGGGCTTAGGACATGAGTACCAAATAACAGACCTCTGTTGTAGATGAAGGACAGTGGGTGACATAAAAAACACAGACCTTAACCAAGGGACGAAGCCAGGAGCTTCTTGTACAACTTGTCTTACCCAGTGCCAGCACAAGGGGGTGCCTTGAAACCAGCAATACTTCCCTATACTATCAAGGAAAAGCTAAGGTTTAAGCATAATTAATATGTGTGTAAGCTTTCCGGCAAGTCAGTGCTATATTCTCTGCTCAGTTCCTGTGGGCAAATAAATAATACTTATTTGGAAAAAGCTGTCATGAATCACTACATGATTCAGTGATTCTTAAAGGCTGCTAAAGCAAATCTACGGGAGGGGATCTGCCAAGGTAGCAAACTCAGTAAGAGAGGTCTTGAATTAGTCTTGTTGATCCAGTCAAAACAGGGCACAATCTAGGACTGTGTTTAGAAATGCAGGAACAGAGCCTACTATCTGCAAAAGGAGGAGATTGCAGAGCAAATAAAATGCTTGGCAGAGCAATAACAGGGAAGTGAAACTAAGGCTGTTGATAACCAGGCATTTCAGGCACCAATGCTGCATCCTTCACTCCTGTTGAACATGGACACAGCTAAAGAACCTGTGAGCTCTCCTTCCCCTCTCTGCCCTTCCCCTCCATTAACGTCAGAGTGASTTGTGGGCGTGTTGTGGGCCTTTTGGTGCACTTGTGGTCCTTCAGTTACACAGACCTTTCATGGTACACTTCCATTAGCATTTTAGTTTGGGCTAGGAGTGCACTTAGGAGGCAAATCTCCAGACCATCCCCACTTACCACACCTGGACTCGTGCTGGTTAGCAGCATGGGAGTGCATTGAAGGCACTAAAWGGGAATATATGCCCCCAGAACATCTATGCTCCAACTGCAGAAGACGCATAGCTCACCAGAGCAGACCTCTCCAGTATCATCCCCACGACACGTGCAGTGTGCTCACAGGTCCTCAGTATGGATTTCTTCTATTGCCCTACACTAAATATAGGTTGTGTCTCAACCTGTCATTAAATCTTGTTCCACTGAATACACTGGGTTCAAAGGAAAACACTTCTTAATGAGTTACTCAATTTAAGAGCTAAAAATTATGCTCTTTATATAAAGATATCCTTACTTAGCCTTACAAAATGCTTGGAGAGGTAAGGGCCTTGGGTCTAATACTGACATTTTAGCTAGACAATCTAAAATTATCAAATGCCTCAGAGGACATTTGACCCCAGAGGAAAAGACAGTAAAAAGGAAGACAGAAAATGTGTAACAGCATCAAAGTGCTGTGGTCTGTATGACAGAACAAAATCCTTAATGCTAATAATTTTCCTTCCTTTCTGTGAAACGTTTCTGTCTTAAAAAAGGATCTGAAGAGAAGGAAGGTCAGGAAGGAACAGAGGAGATGAGTTACAAAGTGAAGACTGCCATACTGAGAACGCTGTCCATCCTCTGATGACTCTCACATAGGCAAGAACAGCCCTACTTAAACTAGGGCTGACAGCAAAGGACTATCAGATGATGGCAGATTCCATATTATTCTACAAAGGAGGCCACTGCCACGTCAGAATTGATAAATATTAATAAGGTGTTTCAGAAGGGACATGATAATAAACAGGAAGCTGCAATTGCCAAACTGTTGTATGTGAAGAGCATGACATTAATCTAAACTGGTGGTAGCCTGAACATCGAGAGCTGTGGCAGTTCTCATTTATTAAAGTGAAGTTTTATCTTTGCTTTTTTGCACTTAACGCTTCTAATCAGGGAGAACAGGTAATATATAGCCCCATTTACAACTTCTTTACAAAAACTTCCCAAGGGCCATGTTCTGAGAACTGGTTTGACTTTCACCAGAAGTTACTTAAAGAAAAAAGAAAATGTACTGAGAGCAAGGACTTAATAATAGATACCACTGTTCACAGAAGAAGGAATGCAGAAGTGATCGATGCAAAGAAAAGGAAATGCTGATACATGGTAGAACAACTTGT